CTGCCATTGAGTCGGATGCAACTCAGTGACCCCTTCTTGGGTTTCCAAGGCGGTATCGCTACGGGAGTAGATTGCCCAATCTTCCTTCCGAGGAGTGGCTGGTGGGTTTGAACTGCCAGCCTCCTGGTTAGCAGTCAAATGCCTTAGGTACTATGCCACCAGAGCTCCTAAAACTCCAATAAACAATGATAACATCAACTTATTTATCTAGTGCTATGTATAGCTACAAAGGAGCCCTAGTGGTGCAGTGGTTAAATGCTCAGTTGCTAACCAAAAGCTTGGTGGTTTGAACCTACAAGCTGTTCCGTAAGAGGAAGATGTGGCAAGCTGTATCTGTAAAGATTGTTGTTGTTGTTGCTATGTGCCATCGAGTCGGCCCCAACTCATAGCGACCCCTCCTTGGGTTTCCAAGGCAGTATCACTACAGAAGTAGATTGCCCAACCTTCCTTCTGAGAAGTGGCTGGTGGGTTTGAACCGCCAGCCTTCTGGTTAGAAGTCAAGTGCCTTAGGCACTACACTACCAGAGCTCCTTCTGTTAAGATTACAGCCTTAGAAACTCTAAGGGGCAGTTCTGATTTGTCCTGTAAAGTCGCTGTAGTTGGCATCAACTCAATAGCAATGGGTTTTATACAGTCACAAATCATCTTCACTTACATTAACTCATTTGTGATAAGCACACCAGGAATTATGATCCTCTTCCTATGAGATAAGAGAACTGAGAATTTGAGACTCTTCCAAGGTCATCCAATCAGCAGCTAGCAGAACTAGGAGTTGAGCAAAGTTCTTTTGACTCCAAGTTCAGCTAACAATGTGACTCATGCTTAATTGATAAACAGCAACTCACTCTCTAGATGCTTTACTTTCTCACAAAAGTTCTAGAGCTATCACTTGTCTCAATGTTGAAAGAAATACTTCGGATTGTTTTGCATGAGGATGACACCACACCACATGTCCAGTAAGGCTTTCTCATTTCAAAGTACATCTATGGCAAATGAGACATTAGGGACGTTGGCCAATCAACTCCTGATTTATTGTATTTTAGTATCTTTTTGTAACCTCTTAGAATGATCAATTCGTTTTAGGTATGCTGTCACCAGGTGGTTGGTAGGAGGATGTCATACACAAATTGTTGTTATTGTTAGGTGCCATTGAGTTGATTTTTTGACTCACAGCAACCCCACATGACAGAGTAGAACTGCACCACGGGGTTTTCTAGGCTGTAATCTTTATGGACACAGATTGCCAGATCTTTCTCCCGTAGAGTGGTGGGGTGGGGGTGAACCGCCAACCTTAGTTTAAGGAAAAAGGAAAGAGTTTTCTCTACGTTTCAGAAAAGTGATTCTAGATTCCAGCCACCTACAATCATAGATTTTCACATTTTAATTAAATGATGCATTAAAATAGTTAAACTTGCAAAAAAGCATAGCCAAAACTTTAGCAAACCTTAGAGCAGAAACTAAATGAAGGCTTTCAAAATTATCTAAGTGCATCTTTTTCAATATGTATTAAATTTTCTTGTAATTGTTCATTTTAACACCATCTAAACATAGATGCTGATTAGAATATTAATCTTTATAACTCACTTGCTGTCAAAACTCTCTAAGTAGTTTATCCTCACATGGTTTCAAGCTGTAAAACCTGTAAGCATTCTTTTATAAGCAACCTTCTTTTACATAATCCTGTAAATCTCTTTTGGTTATTCTAAGCCAGTTAAGGACCCATCTCTTTTTTCAGCCTGGGGTTCCCTTCTCTGCTGGCCTTTTCCCTCCAAAATGTTCCTGGTCAAAGTCTCTTCTTCACTTGCTAATAATGTATGTTGTTTGCTCAAAGTCGGAAAAACCTTATTTTTCTCCATCTGCAGGAGATTATCTCCCTGAGTTAGAGTTGAAACACCTCCAACTCACTTAAATGACTTATCTTCATCCACTGCTTTCATTTTTCTTAAATAATAGCTTCTTGTAGATTACCTCAGCAACATCTATTAAATAGATTCTTCAGAAAGTTGGCAGAGAAATTAAAAAAACAATATCCCTTTCAATAAAGCAAATGGAAAAATGAAATGGTTTTTACAAAAGCAAAGAACAGCTGTCATTTCAGAGTTAAAAAATTAAATTACAAATTTTAGTTGAGCCCCATATTCAGAAATGAGCCCTACAGACTGTGCTATAAACAATGAATTACAAACATTAGTGCTAACTTCAGAGAAGCAAGCTAAACAACCCCTGCTCAAGTAGGAGCAGATTTTACTATCTGAGAAGCAGTATTTAAAAGTCAATTTAAAAACCAAATCCACTGACAAAGAGTCAATTCCAACTCATAGCAACTCTATGAAGAAGAAATACCCCATAGGATTTCCAAGACTATAATCTTTACAGAAGCAGACTGCCACATCTTTCTCCCACAGAGTGGGCTGCTAGGTTTGAACCACTGACCTTTCAGTTAGCAACCAAGCTCTTAACCACTGAGTCACCAGGGCTCCTTTAGAAGTAGTATAAGGTGAGAGCTAAGAGGGAAGGTTCTGAACCCAGACCACCTAGGTTCCAATCCTGGCTCCAGCAATTACATGGTTAAGTTCTTTGTGCCTCAGTTTTCCTCATCTGGGAATAATAAAAATTGCTTGCCTAGCAAGGTTATTGTGCTAACTAAATAAGTAAGTATATTAGACCAATTAGAAAAGAGCACATATACAGTAGAGTGCTCAATAGATGATTATTAATACATTTCCATTCCCTACTGCTCTAATTCATTATGCCCAAGTCTCAAAACCTGAAAAGCACAGTTGCTCTATTAGCCTAACTGCATCCACAGGTAATTTCAGTCAAATTATGATATTTCCATTGGTCTGGAATGGCTCTTTGTATGCTTTTCCCCACGTGGGCAGAACTGATGAGCTCATATGTAGCAAGATCTGTTCACAGATTGGGGTGTCATGCTGTTACTGGGTCATTCATTACATAAGACACTTAACAAGAGATTTCTCTTATAGGAACTACATTTGAGCAGATCCCAAAAACTGTGTGATTTTATGTTGGGCAGGAGATGAGAGGCTGTACAGGAGATGAGAACTTTTACAGAGGTTTGAGGGCTGGGCTGGGTCGTAGGATACCATGTGACTGAGAACACATATTCCACCATCCTAATCTGCACCCTTGGTATAGTATTTATTCAATGTGTGACAAGTGGCAGAACTGTCCCAATCCAGTCTGCCCATGATACGAGGTTTGAGGCTGATCAGGATGTTAACTGCAAATAGAAATATATGTGCCGGTGAGAGTTATGAGAGTACCCATCTGTCTTGTCATCCATGATCAGAATAGGGGTGGCATAGCCAATCAAAATCCCATCCTCTTCCTTCAATCAATTCTTTGAAAGAACTGAAATGAAGGGTGAAAATAGGCTGGCTGGAGTTTCAGCTCTTCTTTTCCTTGCAATCTCCTTGGCAGACGTGCTAATGAGTGGTAAAGTGTTTAAGTGTACCCAGCAGGACAAAGAAACGGAAGCTAGAATTTAGATAATTAATTCCAATCACTCCAATTTCTCTGTCCAGCTATATTCTGCTTTCAAAAAATAAAATAGGCATGGTAATTCCAATCATATTTTCCTCACAACACACATTTTAATTTTACAGAGGATTTACATCAATGCCTTTAAATCTGAGGAGGCCAGGTAAGAAGTCACAGATTATTAAGAATCTGATAAAAACTACACACCCTCCGACACCCAGAAAACTGTACAGGTGCACATACACCTGGTGCTGCCTACAAAGGGATCACCATCCTCCTAAGGACTGTGTGTGCATCCCCATGAGTACATGGACCCAGGTTAGGAATTTTTTTTTAAATGGCATTTTGTCAGAGGGTAGAGAATTTAATTTTATGGCTTTAAGTCTCTCTGATAACCAAGCACTTCAATATTTGCAAATACTTAAATGCAAGCAGTTTTCTAGAACGACTCTTGAAAGTTCAACTATATCATTCTTGTTTTCAATGAGAGCTTATACCACACTTATTTTGATAATTTACCTACTTTATCATCCTACGGCTCACGGAAGATAGTTTTCTTCCCTAAAGAAAGTGATGCATATTTAGAGGAAGAGGAACATGTGGCTATAACTTGCCTGGTGGCTCTACCCTCCAGAAGGGTGCATGGGGCGGGGGGGTGGGGGGGGGAGAAGGTGGGGGCGGGGCAGCTGGAGCCAACTAGCTGTACCTGCCACTCAAAGAAGAAGGATAAAGTATCTCAGTGGGGCATCTTATTCCTAGAGACAGAGGGCAAGGAGATACTGTTCAGAATGTCCAGGAGACTTCTAGTTCTAGTTGCCACAAAGTTGATTCCAACCCTTGGCAACCCCAAGTGTTTCAGAGCAGAACTGTGCTCCACAGGGTTTCCATACTGTGACCTTTCAGAAGCTGATCACCAGGCTTTCTTATGAGGTGCCTCTGGGTGGGTTCAAACTACCAGCCTTTCAGTTAGTAGTCAAGCATTTAATTGTGCCACCCAGGGACCTGGCAGGAGACTAGACAAGCCAAATCCTTTGTAAAGTTTCCCCTTCTCTGAGTACCAAAAGAGCGTGCAAACTACTGACCTACAAACAACAATTTGGGAGAGGAAAGTGAATGTGATAAATAATTACGTTTATATGAATGGTACTGTGCTACAAAGAGAAAAAGGATAATTTGGGGGTGGGGTAGAGGAAGGATTAGAAGTTAAAGATGGGACTTTCCTTTGACCCAGTGTGGTATTTCCTATGGCACTGTTCACATACATCCTCCCATGAACAAGGCTGGGGGCTTCTGAGAAAACATTTCAGACAGTAGATACTGAGCCATATTTGTTCAATTACAAAGGAAACAGAGAATAAGGACATTGCAACATTCTTTACTTTCTTCTAAGTGTCGACAAACACACGAACCATTTTTACCCATCATAGACACATTCAAGCTCTTTATAGGGTACAGTCTAGTCATTATGAAGAACACAGGGAGACAGCTTCACTTACATGGTTAATGAAGAGACTCTTGCGTTTTTCTCTCACTGTGAAAACAAAAGATGCAACAGAAATGTTACATGCCTGCATGTCAACTGCTCTCAGGTTGTCCAGCACTGGGCCTCTGTGTGTGATGGGCCCCTCCTTCTACCAACCAAAGGTTCCCATTTGCTCAATTACCAAATATACAAACACATGGCCTGCACAGATGCAGATCTGACTTTGGCTAATATGGGAAAATATGCACCCATTTACACAAAGCAAGCACCTAACAAAAAATGACAGCAGCTAACATTAATTGAAGGGTAACAGATTTGTACAAACTATATAAAATATTAGTAAATCTCATAAAATTTGTACACACATATTAGTTTAAGATGATTAACAATTAATAGGGCTGTTTAATTCTAACCCAACCAGACCAATAAAAGGTCCTACTATATGAAAGAAATTAAAAAAAATATATATATATATATCCATAATAGCATCAAGACACAAGACATATGATGTAGGTAGAAGCATTAATAATCATGGAAACCAACTGAATACCCATGGTGGGTGCTAGTGGTTAAGATCAAGCTTTTGTCTTAAAAGCCCTCCTCAAGTATCTTGTACCATCTTGCCCTCGGTGAGGGTAATACAACATGTACTAATAAACACTGCACTGACCTCTCAAAATTAATTTCTCACTTTGCTTTCTGTACACAGACCTGTACTAAGTGGCTCAGCTTTCAGTGTCTGCAGACCTCAGGGGTCCTCAAATCAGGGACTCTCAGCCCCAGAGATGTGGAAGGGTGACAGAGAACAGAGAAGAGCTTCTTAACAGTCTACTATTATTGAATACTGCATGGCTTTTTTTTTTTTTTTTTTTACCCCAAAAAATGCTTTTTATGCTCATCAGTCAACACGTGTATACAGCAAGTCACTGTAGATGATTTAAAGAATGAGTTTCCTTCAAGGAGATGACACCCTAGATTGGGGAATCAATAATGACACTTAAGAGTCTCCTACAATGATGGTTTACAGATCCAGCTTAAAAAATGAGGAGGGTTTTGGTTTTTTCCTATGGTCCATACCCCACATGCAGAATCACTGTCCTTTCCAACAGCCTCCCTGCTGACCTGATCCAAGGGCTAGGATTTCTCTGCCGTTTACATGCTGTTCTTAGATTCAAAAAGAAACTATTTTCTTTTTCTTAGATGTAGTATCATCTGTGGAAGGAATGTTTACCTTCTTCCCGTCTCAAAGATATTCAAGATACAAAAGTAAAAATTAGTTTTAGGGTACAGCTGAAGAAGTTAGAGAAAAATGGAGAGAGAAAATGGAAAGAAGATACCTCCAACAAGCTATCAGGTGGGCTTGTCTGTACACAGAATCCGCTCCCCCCAGGGAACAAGGAAGTGGTGCTCCCACATGGTCCTGAGCCCCCTGCCAAAGCATCATTCTCTATTCCTCAAAACTAGGAGACAACACTCACCAATCGTCCACTACATATGCTCTGGAAGCTGATACTACTTCTGACCTAACTCCAAATAAGCACTGATACGTGAACCATAACAAAGGAAAAATGAAGTTTCTAGTAGGAAGCTTGTGGTTTTAACTCTCTGGCATATATACTTTCTCTGTGTATGCACGTGCATGTGTGTGAGTGTGTGCGCATGTATGTGCACACATGCATGTGTGTATATGTACACATGCATGTCAATGTGTGTGTGTGTCCATGTCTGTGTATCTGTATGTGTGTGGGCGTGTCTCTGAGTTTTCTTTAAATCAATTCAATACTATGTCACTGTGTATCTGACCAGGGTTGCTCTATCACATGGGGTATAATGATATTTCTATGGTGATTTCCCATTGGTTGATGTGATCTAGAACACGAACACTTTCTACATGAGCCTTAGATTTAACAGGGTTTCCAGCAAAGTCCTTAGATGATGCTTAGCTTTTTCCACAGTGCCCCAGCAACAGGTGTGTGATCCATTTCCCTGAGCGTAACTGCCTGGGATCAGGACAGATGTCCAACCCTAGCCAGGCTAATTCTTTCTCCTAAAAATGTGGAGTTGGAATTTACTCAAGATACTGGGTCATCATTGGTGGTGCCTTAATAGAAGGTACGATTTACACAATGGAGCTCTAGTGGTACAACAGTTAAGTGCTTGGCTGCTGACTGAAAGATGAGTGGTTCAAACCCACCCAGCGACTCCTAGAGATCTGCTTCCACAAATATTGCAGCCTAGATAACCCTATAGGGCAGTTCGACTCTGTCACATGGGTTGCTGTGAGTTGAAATTGACATGGTAACACACAACAACAGTTTACAGAAGGCATGTAAACTCAGGTGTGGGGTGGGGGTGAGGGCACCTCTTTCTGTGCAGAAAAGAGTTAAAAGGCCTTCAAAAGGCCCGCTTGCAAAGTTGGCCCTTGGCTGGCATCTAGGAATTTAGATTTCACTAGGGTCCGACCACTTCCTGATAAGAAGGGCTCACTGTGCCTAAACTATACAAACAATGTGGTTACGCTGAACACCTGCTTCCCTTCTGGGCATCTGGAATCTTGGTATATACCAGGCAGAGGCTGGTTACAAGATCAGCCCCAAGTAAAAACCTCTAAGGAGCTTCCTTGGCTGGCAACATTTCACATGTGTTGTCGGAACATATTGCTGAGGGATAAGCATGTCCAGCTTGAGTCCACGAGGATGGGATCATTGGAAGTTTGTACCTAATTTTCCCTGGACTGCACCCCATGAGTCTTTTCTGTATATTGATTCTGCCTGGTATCCATTCACCCTAATAAACCACAGTGACATTTACAACTATATGTTAACTCCTGTGGTCCCCCTAAGGAATTACTAAACCTATTTTGGGACCCTCTGACAACCTACCATGAACTGAGGGGCAGTTAAGATGGAGGAGGTGTGCTGCCTTAGTTCCTAATGGCTTTTAGCATCTAATTCCCATTACTCATAAGGTTTCCAAGGTACCAAATCCACTGCCATCAATTCACTTCCAACTCATAGCAACCCTTTAGGACAGGGTAAAACTAACTGCTCCATAGGGTTTCCAAGGCCATAAGTCTTTATGGAAGTAGAATGCCTCACCTTTCTCCTGTGGAGAGGCTGGTGGGTGTGAACATCAATCTTCCAGTTAGCTGTTAAATGGTTTAACCACTCCACTACCAGGGTTCCTTCCCTGAGGTGCCTGGTACTCTTAAAATTAATTTCTCCTTTCCTCCTAAGCTAGCTGGTCCAGGTCTAAGACACTACCATTGGGACAATAAAATAAATGGAATCTCTCACACTGGTATCACCAAAAAGGACTGACAAAATTATCCAAATCTAAATCTGTCTTTAAAATAAATTTGAAACCACTGAGGCCATAGATCAGTTCTGAAATTCAAAGTGCATTAGCTGTTGTGCTTTATGGGATGTTAAAAGCATGCCAGCTCACTTCTAATAGTTGGCTTTAATCATTTTTAAAACCTCAATATTTTTGGTTTTTATTTATTTATTTTTTAAATTTTATTTTGATTTGGGTGAAGATTTACAGAGTAAATTCACATTTCATACAGCAGTTCACATATACTTTTGTCTCATGTCATTGACCAAAATTTACAATGCAACAGCTCCCCTCCCACTTCCTCCCCATAGTTACCTCTTTCCAGTGTCCATCCCTCCATACTCTCCTGCGCCCTGAGCTGTCTCCCTGTGCATAAGCAGCCCTTCCTTCTCCCATGACTGTTCTCTCCAGGGTGTGTGTCTACTTGAGGTAAATGTTTAACTCACATGCCTGTACTTTGTTTGGCTGGAAACCACAGTTGTGGGTTCAATTCCAGACCTGAAGGGCAGCTAGGGGCCATAGTCTCAGTGGTTCCACCAGGCTCTACTGGACCAGCAAACCTGGTCCCCACCTTCTTTTTTTTTTTTTGGCTCCAAATGATTTTGAGTTTTGTTCCACATTGTTCTCCCTCTCTATGCAGGATCTCGTACATCCCTTCCAAGTGGATGACAGTGGTAGCCGGGCACCATCTAGTTCTTCTGGTCTCATAGTTGTATAGGTTGCAGATCAGATGGTGTACCAGTCGCTAGGTCTGACTGTTTCCATTCATTTTGGTAAAACCTCAATATTTTTGGTTAATAATAACATATCAGTAAAAATCTCTGGAGTTTTCAGAGTTCCAATATAAGTGAGTGCGTTCATATAGTCATATTTTGCTTTGTGTGGGAAACAGGCAATAAACTGATGTGGGTCATGAATCTCCTCTTTCCTGGGAGAAGAATAATAGCTATCTCCTCTGAGCTAGTCTGTTAGTCTGTTAAGAGGAGTTTTAATTGACTGTAACAATAATCATCATAATGAATTAAACAAAAAAATATACTAAAGGCTTTAAAAATAAGTCCTCTAAAATCATCAAAAACACTACCCCTGACAAAAAGTCTTCTCCAGATCAAAAGGGAAGAAGGAATACAGAATTCTGTTTGCAATTTGAGGGAAAAACAAAACTTCAGTTAGGTGATTATAGGACACTCCCTTGCCACAATGTCACAGAAGTAAAATTTCTTTAGTTTTAGAAATACAACTCTATGGTAATGGAACACAATTTTGTCCTTTGCCCTTGGTTTCTGCGAAGTAACCCTGGGAGTAACTGAGGTGCTTTTATCTGAAACCTCCAGCCCAAACCTGAGGATCTGTGTTAATGAGTGGGGGCTAGCTAGACCAGAAAAGATTCATCTATTAGGCCTATGTCAACTAACTTCCAGAGGCATTATTTAGTCTATCATGCATATGCAGTGAGGGTCCAATCATGACTGGCTGGTAAAAGCTCTGAACACAAAAGCTCAGAGTGCTCCCTGGTTGGTGAAGAAAGGGTGGCACGCCCTCTTTGGGACATGGCAGCTTCAAGTTGGGAACCCTCCCAGACTTCACCCACACATCTCTCCCTTTTGATAATCCTGCTTTATATTCTTTTGCTGTAATAAATCCATAATCATAAGTAAGAACTCACTTTTTTTGAGTTCTGCAAGTAATTCCAGTGAATTATCAAACCCAAA